CTAATCGCCTGAGTTCATTGAAATCAGCTTTCCTAAAGTCTAGCACTTTCACCCTACTAGTTACCTTACCCACTCAATGTCTTATGATGAATTCTATTATTTGGTGATCACTGTCCCCCAGGTGACCACCGATCTGTAGGTCCCCTACCATGTCATCCCCCATTGCCAATACCAGGTCCAGTAAGGCATTCCCCCTAGTGGGACTGTGTACCTCCTGTGTCAGGTGGAGGTCCTGTACACAGGATAGGAACCTGCGTGAACGGTGGCACTTTGCTGTCTGCGTCTCCCAGTAGATGTCTGGGTAGTTTAGGTCCCCCATGACTACCGCCTCCTTAGTTTTTATGGTCTCTGAGAGCTGGAAGAAATGGGTGCACCAATAGCCTAGCATCTGCTACCAGGAGGTGATGCACTGTGATAATTCTGCACATGGAGCCAGCATAGAATTATGGGATAGCTAAGCAAAAAAATGCCTCAGACTGAAAAACATGGGCCCAGAACCAACACAGCATCAGACATTGTACACTGCATTGGCAAATAGCTCATGACTCCTAGCTGGCTTTGAATATTCTTGTTCTCTGTACAGCTCCTAGCACAATAGTGTCCTGGTCTCTGACTGGTGTGGAAGAAATCAAACTTCGCGTTGTGGTTGTATTAGAAATGGCAGAGCCATCTAGGCTTATTTAAAGCTATACAAGTGATCACAAGGAGGGTTCTCAAAGGAACTCTGACCTCTACAAGTTTACAAGCGTATTTATACTTTAGACAGTGAGAAAAGATGCAGGGTTCAGACAAAGCAACCTTGAGAGAAACAGAAAGATGTTGATCATTCATTTGTCACACATAAGCAGTTTACTTTTTCAGCAAACACATTGTGTTTTGGGAACAGCTATCAGTGTTGTGTTTTTTTGTTCCTGGAAAGGAGGAGGTTAACATCTGCACACAGACGAAACAAGGCATGACGGTTTTTCCTTATCTTAGAACATTTTAAAACACATAGCATCAGCATTAGCATCTTTTATCTTCTCTTTCTCTCTCTTTGTCTCTCCTCTTCGTCAAGTAAGAGGCCTGGTTAAACTTATTTCCACACTGGGGTCCTGAGTGTTAAAGGAATGTTGTTGTTGCTGCTTCTGATAATGATGATGACGATGATGATGTATCAAATACAGGAGACTTTTTGGGCCAAACTTGTTTCCTATCTAACTCCACTGAATTGCGTAGAATCATGGGATCATAAAAAAGCAGGGCAGGAAGAGACCTCATAAGGTAATCTAGTCCAGCCCCGTGCTCAAGGTAGAATCATCCCTGAGTAAGCTAACCCAGCCAAGTGTCTTTCTAACCTGCTCTTGAAAATTTCCAGGGATGGAGATTCCACAGTTTCTATAGGTAGCCTGTTCCAGTGTTCAACCACCCTCATAGTCAAAAAGTTATTTCTAATTTCCAACCAAAATTTCCTCTTTCAACTCAAAGCCATTTCTCCTAGCCTTGGCACCTACAGTCACAGAGAAAAGCCCATCTCCATCCTCTCTGTAACCCCCCCTCAGCCCTCTCTTCTCTAGACTAAATAACCCTAGTTATTTCAGTCTTTCCTCATAAGCCTTGCTTCCCAGGCCCCTAATCATTTTTGTCACTCTGTGCTGGACTCTTTCCAATTTGTCCACATCATTTTTTAAGTCTGGGGCCCACTGAGGCCTGAACAAAGCTGAATAGAGCAGAAGAATCACCCATTAAGATTTAGGAATAGATTCTGGCACTTTGTCTCACCTTAAGCACTACCTTCCTCTGTAGGTAGTCTAATGCAATCAGCCCTCTGACAGCAGAGTCAGCCCATCATTAGCTGGAATGAAGCTCTCTGTCAGCCGGGGTGCATGTAGCAGCAGCTTATCCTATAGCAACCTAAGAAAAATAATCCTTTGTTCTGCCCTTCTTTTCCCATCCCTTTTTTGAACCAGGTGTCTTTGGGACAGTGGAAATGTACCCATCTCATGTGGGCATCTGGCGAGTGGACTGCAAAGTGGGAGAGCACCAGCAGGCCGGCATGAGCGCCTTGTTCCTTGTATATGACCTGAGTGAGTAATTCTTCTCTTCTGTCATCAATTCAACTCCTCTGTTCCCTTGCTTAGCATCTCCTGTTGGAGATTAGGAGTAACATTTCCAAAGGTGCTTATGTGCCATTGACTTTAATGAGACATGAGGGAACCTCAAGGCCTTTTGCAATAGGACTTAAGTGTATGTCTCTGGCCAGTAGCATAACTAATGGAGGACAACTGAGGCACCAGCCCTGGGGAGGGGTGCACAAATGGCAGCCACTGCCATTGTTCTCCTGGTTGCTGCCACATTGCTGCCAGCAACCTAATTGTGACTACTGTACCATGTGTCATCACTGCTCAGGGCACAGAACTTCCTAGTTAAGCCTCTGTGGCAGCAGCATATTTTAGCAAGCCCCTGAGCATGCTAAGCTCACTTGAAGTCAGGAGACTGAGTGCAAGGGGCTGCTCCCAGGGAGGTTTCACCACCATATTTATGGGCTTGGGGCATGCAAGTGGAAGTGCAGGGGTAGGGCATGCTTCTGGGCATCCCAACCAGAGCATGCTGCCAGTACAGTGCAAATGTACCTCAGGTTCCCAAGTCACTCAGACTACGTTTATATAGCAGACTTACCATGACTAGCAGTGGTGCCCTCAAATACATAGCACTGCTCAATGCAAGCTGCCTCCTAAACCAGAAGTAGAGTACCAAAGTGTGCTGCTTGGGAAGGACAAATTAGTGTGGGGTGGGTTAAATGGCACAGTTGGTCAGCAGTGCTAATTAATCCACTCAAAGTTATAGATGTGTGTAAAGTTTCTGATTTAGTAGGTAGTCCATGTGAGCAACACAGCATGCAGGAGGGTTGTGCTGTTTTGAAAATGCACCTTTTGAGGACCACCTAGTGGTCCTCAAATTTGAACCCATGGGGCAGTTATAGGCATGCTCTGGGAGGCGGGGGAGGGGGGACATTAATTAGCACAGCTCTGAGAGCTGTGCTAATTAAAAGCACCTGGAGCATCAACATGTATCAGTGTCCCCATGCTGAAAAATGGCAGCAGGGTACTTTGAACTAAAGCTCTTCAAACCAGCTTTAGTTTACAGTGCCCCGCTACCATTTTTCAGCACGGGGATGCTGATACATGTGACACTGGAGTCTGCTCTGACATGTAATTACAGCGCATTGGAGCAGCCTCTCTGCACGTGTCTAGGAGCCCATGGTTTTTTTGGCTTCCATCAGACAAGTGCAAATGACAGCATGTAGGCATTTAACTATCTGACTCAGCCTGCAGAAGAGTGAGCAGGATAGCAAATCACCTTGCATGAATTACACCCTGGCCGACTGGAGACACAGGAAAGTTGGTTCAAAAACTGGAGCCCAGCTTGACTCACCTGCAAGATTTTGGCCACAGGAGTCTGAGTTTCAAAACTTTTGCACTTGCTTGATGGAAGCCAAAAAAACCCAGGGCCACATGCCAAAATGTGCCTGCATTTTCTACCATGCCTATATGCCCTGATCTTGGATTTATACTTGTATCTAAACAATGAAGTGCCTACTTGACTAGCTGCATATGGAAATACCTCTTTGCAGAGAGGCAAGCTGAGGCACAGAGTGCTGATGTTACACACCCAAGGTCACAGAGCCTGGCCACAAGTTACTATGGTCAGAAACAGTCTTCATCCAGTAAACCAGCAACAACATCAACATCTACCTTAATAACATTTGGTATTGGCAGTGTCTTCTCCAGCTCACGACTGTAAAACATCTGCCATTTCATTTCAATACTAGTTTTAACATCAGCAAGTAATACCTGATTTAGTTTACATAATAATGGACTTCTGTTTAAAGTGGAAATCTGCATTTTAAAAATGGTCTTAAAAGAGTATTAAATGTTAGCCAGCAAAGTTTTCTGTAAAGATAAACTGAAGAGTTTTTTACAAGTCAAAATCTACTTTTCACTAGGAAGTGTTTGGCATGAAAAGACAGTTTCAAGTGCTGTTTTGTTTTAAGGCATGGATTATTATAGAAAATAAACAGACCAGGAAAGGGACTTTGAAATATAGGAGATGTCAGAAGAGATTTTGTTAAAGACACAAAGATTTGTGTTTAAAAGATGTTGCTTAGCAACAAAGAAACCCCAAAGCAAGACACTGATACATGGAAGAGACATTTGTCAACATAACTGTCATACCAGTGACACACTGATAGGAAAGTGCATCAGGGGGCTGTCTAAGGGACTGGCATGAATTGTAATATATGCCAGCCTGTCTTGGTTTACAGGTCAATATTTACAGCTTATATAACACCACTGGGGATCAAAAGTAGGAACAGGAGACAATGCAAGAGCAAGTTTAAAAATCTGTACAGAATTAAAAGGAAATGCTAGAAAATCACTCTCCAAGTTCCTTACCTTCCAGGCTCTTAATGCAGATATCTGGGATCACCTTTTAACAGTTGATGAAGGGTTGAGGGACCTCAAGGACCATCTCATCCCTCCGGCCTATGCAGAAGCAGGGTTCACATTTCCTGAATCATCCCAGACCATTAAGACAGTGTAGGGTACTCTTCTTTTCCCATGCTACTTGCTTTTGTTCTACTTTGAGTCTGTCCATATTGCTATGGCAATTGTGCTAGTACTAAGCTTGGATTCATGGTTTTGTCTCCTCTTTAAAACACATTTAAGTTATCTTAAAGGGTGCCTAAATTCCACTCATTGGAAAGTTTCAGAAGAGATATGTCATGTTGCAGCACTACAGGGTCTCTTGACATCTGTAGTGTGACATCTTGGCATGTGCCTTGCAATAGTAGTTTGTCATATTTTGAAGTTTCCACCCAAAGGAATGGTATAGGTCCAAAGGACATGGCTGTTCTGACATGCTTTCACCACAGGTTTTGAGCTGTTTGGATTTTGTAGAGTGGTCAGAAGCCTGTTTGCTCTTGGCTCATTTGGATTCCTACCCACAGAGCTTCAGTTTGGTCTCCAAGTTCCAATAGATCGAGAAGATCAGAGTTGTTCCACCAAAACTAGTGTATTTGCTTGGTGGCTGGTTGAAACCCCTGGAGTATCCTCATTTGATTTCCAAATCACTAATGACCCAGCTTAAAAGCCCAGCATTGCTGGGAAATTTAGTCTAGGTTCACACAGCTCCACAGAATTTGGTGCCATGGGTTTTAATGAGCCCCAGCAGGCTCATGTTATCCTGCTCTGGGGTTATGTTCTGAAAGTCAAGCCCACCCTAACTGGGTGTGTCTACACAAGACACTTTACTGTGCAGTAGTGTAGTTTACTGCACAGTAAGGATGCACACACTTACTGCGCAGTAAAAATTGCTACTTGGGAGTAAATTCGCTACTTGCAAATGCAAGAAGCAAATTTAATTGCAAGTAGTTATCGCACAGTAACTCATGTATAGACACTAACCAGGAGCAAATTTGCTCCAGGTCTGCATCACTAGGGGGCCAGCCTGAGGCTAGCCCATGGGTGGGCAAAATGTGGCCCCTGGGCTGGATGCTGCCTGCCAAGCCATTCTATCCAGCCCATGGGGCCCCTAAAAATTTAGAAAATTAATATTTATCTGCTCCTGGCTCCCTGTCATGTGGCCCTTGATGGCTTGCCAAAACTCTGTAAGTAGCCCTCCTCCCAAAATAATTGCCTACCTCTGGGCTAGCCCCAGGGCTTTGGGGCTGGGAGCCTCTTTTACCCCAGGTAAAAGACCAGCCCCAGCCTCTGGCCCTTAAAAGCCTGAAGGCATAGTGAGCCCTGGGGCACATGCAGGGAGCCTGAGGCCACACTAGGCCACTGTGTCCCCCTGTGTAGGCTGCAGGTCAGCTGTGCCAGCCTGCCTGCACCCTGGCGCCACTTCCTGGGACTGTGGTGCCACATGGTTGCCAGGCCCACACCATCCAGGCCTTTAGGGTGTTGCAGGCTCTTGCCAGGCCTGCCAGTACCTGAGTCCAGCTGCAGGCAGCTCCTGACCACTGGGGCCAGCTTCAGCTGCCCACAGCCCACTCCCAGCAACCTGCCCAGAGCCTGCAGGTGCTGTGGGGCATCGCCTTGCCACAAGGTTGCCATTCCTGCACTGTGCCTTTGTGCTGGGTGCTGCAGGCGGCTGCCCAGGCCTAGCAGCACAGGTACAGCTGCGTGAAGGCCCAGAGATTCGGTGCAGGAGCTCCAATGGCCTCATCACCAATGTCACACCCCACCTCCCAGGGACACAACTGGTTGCAGGAGGAGGCTGGTGACCTTGTGGCACTGTGGGGCGAGGTGGAGGTTCAGTGTCAATTTGCGCAGGGTGGGCACTCCAATGCCCATGTCCAAGAGGGGCTATGATGCTGGATGTGGGAGTGTGAGGGTAACTGGCTGGCGTGGCAGTGCTGCATAAAGGTCAAGGCCTTGTGGACGCAGTGGGTTTCCATCTCTGACCATAGCTGCCAGTCGGGGAGTGCTCACAAGACCATGCCCTTTATGCAGCAGTTGACAGAGATTCTTGCATCCTAGGACCCAGGCTGCAGCTGTGCTGTGTACAGCAGCAGAGGCAACCTGCCCAAGCCTGTGCTCTGGTCTGGTACCCATGGTGACATGTTGCTGGAGGATGGCCCCTTGGTGCACCAGCAGACCATCTCACTGAGCTCTCCATCTACAGCCTCCACCAGCAACTCAGGGAGCCCAGGCCAGTGCCTGCCCTGACAGCTTTGCAGTCTCAGCCCCAGCCATGAGGTGTGGCTGACCATGACCCCTCTGGCTGCCAGAAGCACCACCTCCTCCTCGGCAGGTCCTGTCTGTGTACCTGCATGCCATGCCCCACTGTCTGATGAGTCCACGTGGAGCCATATACCATCGTTGGCAGCTGGGACCAACCAAAGCCACCAGCTACACCAGCCCCTGGGACAGGCAGCCAGCACCCAAAGCTGCACCCAAAAAATACTTGTGATTTTTAGCCATCTGGTAAGCCCCGCATTGGGGGCAAGCCCTCTCTGCCCCTGCCTCTGGCCCCCGCCCCCACCACCCGGCCTAGCTGCACTTCCCTGGCCTCCAGATTCCCCACCCCTGGCCTCATGCAGGGAGGCAGAAGACAATACTTTATTGGCAGTGCAAAACTTTATTGAGCAGCCTGTGTCCCCACAGCTAGGCAAGCATAGGTCTCTCATATGCTGAGGAACACTTTGATACCAGCAGCGATGTTCTTCTCCGCTGTGGGGGGGCAGCAACGTGTAGCACAGCCACAGGTATCCCTCCAGGCAGTGGCAGAGGTTGCAAGGCAGCCTGGGTTTGCCGTCCACACTGTTGAAGCTCAAGGTCCTGTACCAGGTGCACAGGGCACCATGGTGGTCAACAGGAGCAGGGCATAGTGGGTTGGACACCCCTTGTTCTGCGCACAGTTCCTCGCGCAGTGCCTGGTGTGGCGGGTTAGCAGGGGGCACTCCTGTGATAAGCCACCCACCTCACTGCACCTAACCACTTACCAGGCTCTGAGTGTCTCCCTGGGGCTCCTCACAACCAGCTGATCCACTTCCTGGAGAACACCCATGAGCCTGGGGTTACCGCTGCCACCACCCAGGAGTCTCGGTCTCTCCACGGCCCTGTGCCCCCTGAGATATACTGGCCTTGTAGACCTTGAGGGTGCTCAACCCACTGCAAGAACTTGGGGTGCTTCCCTTGGCCTGAAGCACAAATAGTGGTCTCTCTCAGTCAGCCGGACCAAGGGGACACAAAGACATGCCCCTCTCCTTTTCCCAGCCAGTTCACCATGCTTTGAATGATGGAAAACTTTATTAATTACAGGGAGTAGGTTTGGGGTAGGGTACAGGATAGAGCAATATCAAAGAATAACCTTAGAGCAAGCAGTGTGTCTAGGTAGCCATTGATCATGCAACTGCTGTACTACACATGGGTGACTGGTATCACCTTAGTCAGCAGGGGGCACGTGCCCCCCCAGTGATCAGTCAGCAATGGAGGGGGTCCCCCTGTGGGTGATCGCACCAACTGGGAAGCAGATGCAGCGCTCCTAGAAGTGGCTGCGGTGCTTCATCCAGCGCTCCCACTCACCACTCGGTGCTCTCAGGGGGGGCACCGGTGCTCCCACCTGCCCCCCTTGCCCATTGCCTAAGTGGGGACCGCAGCCTGTCAGGGGGTGCACAAGCGTTCCCAGGGGATGCACGTGCACCACCATGCACCCCTTACTGCAAGCCATATATCTCAAGTAGCTTACTCACAAGTATCATTCAGAGGCTGATTGCTTTCCTTTGGAGGCAGGCAGTTTCTTGTGTGTCCATTTGCAAGAGAAAGAGGGAGAAGGCTACAGCATTCAGCTGCTCTTTCTCTCTCCCCAGGAGCCTTAGGGCTCCAGCATGGAAGCTCTCTCCTTGCTTTTCAGCATGGCTCTCTCCAGCATGGCTCTGCCAAAAATGACTCTTCAAGATGGCTCTGCCCCTTCTTCTTCATGGGGACCCCTTTTAACCCCTATCGTGACCTCATCGCTAAGGTCCCACCAGGAGCAGCCCCATTGGCTAAAGCCTGGTGCTTTCCAATGACATCACCTTTCCAGGTGAGGAAGCTAGTCATATGACTTGTGATGGCAGGAAATTTGAGACAAAGATAGCAGGTTCCCCCCCCCCCGACACAGGAATGTATCTGACTCAGGTTACACCTCAGGATTACCTGAAGCAGGGTGTTGGGGAGGGCTGCCTGCCCGCTGCAGTGACCGTGGTAACCAAATGGACAGACAGGCCTGATAGCTGTTTGGGGAGATACTGTGATGGCATTCTGTCACACCTGGGACACACAGCAGGGGCATACTTGGGGTGCAGCACTGGTGTGGGAGAGCAGGCTGGCCCAGGGCACCTCCCTGGAGAAGCCCCTGTGGGGTGGGTGGTGGCGTGAGCAGCTCCTTGTCCCAGTCATCTGGGAGCCCCTCATTCCCCGAGCCCAGGCAACATGGGCTTAGTGGAAACACGGGAGAGCGGCTGTTCTACAGGAAAAGAAAGGGGGGAAGCAGGGTCTTGAGCCACAGCAAGAGGTGCTGCCAGGAACCTAGCCTGTCCCAGCCTGGAAACAGGGTGGGGGAGGCAGGCTTCCTGCAGCCAGCACCCAGAGGCCCACCAGTCCCAGGAGAGTGAGCA